GAGAGTGATCCGACTCCGACAATACCCTCAATGGCTCGCAGCTTGCGGTAGCGGATACATGCCAGACTGCCCGCTTGCCTTACTGTAGCGCGGCCAATGGCAGCGAATGGCCTCTGTGGTTCGGAAGTATGCCGAGTTGGCGACGACGGTGTTTTGGATCCTTCCCTCGTGTCCCGCAGCAGTAGTCTCCCAGCTTAACATTAAGAAGTCCAGCGCCTTTTCTGCTTCGAAGGATGTATGCAGGCGTGTCCCACATTTGGCCAAGGACAGCCTATGCTTTCCTGCGCTGACCTCAGCCTTGCATGGTATTCGTCCAGCTGACAGTGGAGTCTGCAGGGCCGGAGGGATGCTTGTCAGGACGGAAGCTTCTCTCGCAGCTACTGCTGTCAGCCACCTACAGGACAGGAGGGAAGTCGGGTGTAGACTCCTGACGTGCGCGGAACGTGCTTTCATGGGTGAGACTTGTTTGTCCGGAGGGTCCGCAGATTGCTGGGACACCTGGAACAGCTACCAATTCTGCTGTGGCAGCGAGCCTCCGAGCAGCTTGGCATAAGTAGTCTGGGTTGTCCTTTGGGATCTTTTTTAATTTCCCCTACTATTTTGTAGAGAACCATAATTGTAGATAATTTTCAAAGGGCCTAAAGGACAACTTAGTAGTCTAAGTAAAGAAGTCTAGAGTCGCCTTGCAAGCCCTCATAGTAGCCCTTATCGAACCCTTATATAGAACCCGTATAGTAGCCCATTAGAGTCTAGACGGTGCTTGCACGCTGCTGAATGCCAGAGTGCGTCCATCTATCGAACGCATGATACTAGTATCGTGTTGCATAGAGACTTTCCTCTAGTTGTGTTCGTAGTGCTGACATGCAGGTAACCAGCTATTGGACAACTGCAGTACATATGTGCGATGGTGCACACCAGGACTCTGCCAGCAAGCGATTTGAAACATCTAGCCTGTGCGTCTTCTTCAGTTGCAGCATCCCTTCCTGCGAGTGACGGCAGGAGTTTCGTCACTAGCTTGCGACCTTGCTGCAGATGCCCTCATACAGTCGTTGGGCCTCCTTGCAGAGAAGGCTCCCTGACTTTCGGATCGATTGTGCGACCTCCCGTGCGGGTGAGACAATGGCTTTGCAGTCGCGGATGCTATAGCTTTCTCATTGCCAGGCACCTGCTTGCCACATGCCACGTTGCTGTGGATGGGCACTGCTACGATTTACGGCAGCAGAGATGATTTCAAGCTTGGTCCATCCTTCTTGCAAGCTGTTCTGAGATTCTGCGCAGGATAGCCCTGGGTTGTCAATCTCCTGGCCCGGTCATAGCGGACTGTTGCGGTCGATCATGGAACTCCAGTCTTCGCCACTCTTTCAAGACCCTCCCCTCTCTTGACTCCTTGGCTGCGAAACACTTAAGTACTTGTAGCAGGGTTAGTTGGTGTATGTCGGTACTACTAACTATCTCCTCAGCCATAGCTCGCGCGTGTGACGACCGAATAGAGCACGTAGCTAAGGATCCTGGGATGCACAGACGCGTGAGACGCGAAACGACAAGCTGTCCCCGGCCCGCCGCTTCTTGGCTGCCTCAACAAGTATCAACTCTTGTGCGATGGAGGTATCACAGAAAATCCTGAATCCTTCAAAGTTGCACAAAGGATTATAAGGATCCGTGCTCAAAAACTCTCATATCTCTAGAAGCAGCTTGTTCACAGAGTCGCGATCTGTGGAGGTGTTGCATGGTGCACAGAACGAGCTGCGATGCTGCAGGAGCTCAGTCTTCAAGTCTTCTTACCTTTGGTTGGTATCCTTACAAGGGCTCCTTTAAAAGGGGTCTATAAGGGCTACTATAAGGGCTATTATATGGATTTTGTATAGGGGCCTTGGTAGGGAATGGAAGAATGGTAGTAACAGTAAGTATATAATCGTACCCCACTGCTCCATTCCCTACTATCCAAAGGTAAGTCTTGGTTTCAGTCAGAAACTTACAGGCCCGTGGTTTGGGCTCCTGCGAGTCAGGATCCTGATTTTTGAGGTTCTAAAGTAGGACCTCCTATTTTCTGAAAATATTGCGTGATTTGCAGGCGAGCTTTACATGGTCCTTGCGTGTCTTCGCTGAGCTTTGTGGATTAGTAGCTCTCGTACCCCGTTCTGTTTCAGGAGCTGATGATGTCTGGTGGTTCTTTATCAAAAGCTGTATGGGCTGTTAGTCAATCTTGCTATGCGCTTTCCAGATCCGCAATCCCTGCTCTGTTGCCGTGATATACTTCACAGTCCTCCATGCAACCGCCGACGCAGCCCTCTAGGGGCAGGTTGGGATTGCTGAGGAATGTACTTTCGCATGAACGGCCAGCAAGGGACAAGAATCAAGCAAAGGAATGAAGCGACCCTGCTGCTGCTGCAGCTGCATGTTTTCAGAGGATTGGAGCAACAAAGACATGAGTCGTCGATGAGGTGTCCGCATAGTATGTCTGTTCGGGATCGGCCCGGCTCAACGACTCATGGCTGCCTCGTTGAAGTGTCTGGCATGGTATAGCATAGTATAGTACATTATAGTACGACGGAGTGCAGTATATGTATATACACATATTATAGTTATGTTGTTATCTAGTACAACATGGATCAGCCGCAGGCGTGGGATCCACAACGCTTCTTGCCTCACGACGGGCCGAGCGATCTCGAGCATCGGCGTGCTGCCAGTATGTTGCTTGCACAGACATTGGTGTGGCGCTCATGGTCGTTTTGCAAATTCTGGAAGGTATGATATTATATTGGCATGATGTTATGCTACACTATACTTTATTAGTTTTGCTATATTATGACGTCGCTTGGCTCTTCCAGCCCCTGAGGTTCCGGCATTGGCTGCAGCACTGCAGCTTGTCGAGCAAACTTTGTCTTGCTTTCATTCCTGCAGCCAAAAACCATTACCATAAGCACTAAAACCCTAACACCCTTGAACACTCCAACCCTGAAGCGCTAAACCCTTAGACCCTAAACATTGAATCCTTGAACCCTTGAGCCCTAAGCTTTCACCTGGGCCCACTACTTAAAGGATCATGGGACTCAGTAACTAGGGTTATAATTAGGGAAACTATACTTAAAACCCCCAATGAAGGTACTTATAAGCTTACTTACTATGTCCCATGATCCTCCCAAGTAGACCCTAAAACCTGAACCTTGTAGATCCCTGTAAGGAGCCCTAAAGATCCCTTTAAGGAGCCCTTTAAGGAACCTTACTTACTAAGTCCCATGATCCTCCAAGTACTTTTCCCGTTGAAGGCCGCGCCTTGCAGCAGGAGCGCTTGCGCGAGTTCCGGCCGCTGCTCAAGGTGCCTCAATCAGGGGTTTTAGGGTTTGGGGGTTTACAGGTTCGGGGGTGTTTTGCGGTTTACGGATTTTTGGGGTTTGGGGTTTTGGTTTAGGGGCTTGGTTGAAGTCACTCTGCGAAGCATGGGGTCTAGGCATAGCCTAGCTTTACACGGCAACTCGGGTGATCGTTTGGCGGTGTCGTAAGTTTTTGTGGTCAGCGCACTCGATCTTGCTTCGGGAGGTTCGGACTGGTAGCACTTCGCGGCTTGCCCGGCAGGAGCACTTGCTGAACTCCATCCACAGTGATTGGCCAGCCGGCACCGCAGACGGCAAGGCTTCACAACCAAGGAACGATTGCTAGCTTTCCCAGTGCTGCCTGATTTTGTGGTGTCCAGCAGGTGGGATTATTAGTGGCCGTGGCCGGGCCTGTTGCCGACGAAATGGCGGACTTCATCCGGTGACCCAGCAGCAGGAGACCAACAAAAACACAAAGTCGACTAGGCTGAATGTTTGCTACTGATGTTCTGCCATCGCGAGAGAGTGTCACAATGTGTTACTTTTTTGGTACTGGGCATCATGCCATTGCCGGAACTTACCATAGTAGTATTATAGTTATCTATACTACTCTTTTGGGAACTATAGTAATATAATCACCTATTATACTATACTACTCTTTTGGGAACTATAGTAATATAAACACCTATTATACTATTTTGGGAACTTTCCCATCCGGATGGGCTTCGTTGGGACCTCCGCATTTGTCGCAGGTGGTGGAAGTGCTATGCCGACCGCCACGGATACCTCTTTCTGCAAGACGATGAGGAGCCGGAGGACTTGGTGAGGGCCCCAGTGCAGCCTGCAAGTAATAGTAATAATAATAGTAATAATAATAATAATAGTAATAATAATAGAAATTATAGTAACGCCAGCAATAACAGTAATAGTAGTAATAATAGTGAGCCACTTGAAGAACTGCAGCTGCTAAATTTGAATGGAAGAACAGAGAACGCCGGAAGCACGCAGTCTACTCCAATTGTGTCTCCTGTCTGTCTTCGGGGCTGTAGTACTCGTTTCTCGCTCGAGGTTCCCCCAGCTTTTGGACAGCTGCTGGAAGCGACTGCAGTGCGTGGTGTGGACAGGACGGAGTCTTCGTGAAGTGGGATTTGCTGAGGATCCAATCCCGTAGTCTTTACCCCCCGCTGGATTGCAGCAGACGACTCTTTAGTCCCTTCAGAACGCGGACATGGTCTTCCCGGCTGGCGTTTTTAGCAGAAGAGTACTTGAGTAGATAATATGATTCTCGAGCATATTTCATGGGCGACAGAGCAGCTCTGATCCGATTTTGCACCGCAGGCTAAGCCTCAACACCCTGAAACGGCACTTGGGCCGCACTGGGCATTGCTTGGTACTTCATGCAAGTTCACCAAGTTGAGCGGACCCTAAACCCGAAGCCCATCTCAACCCCAAACCCATCTAAACCCTAAATCTATCTAAGCCTATCTGAGCCCCAAAATGGCAGATCTCTCAGGCAAGTCTCTCGATACGCCTGGCTGAAGTGGCTTTCAGCAAAGCGGCATCTTCACGAAGCTGGGTTCTTGTTAAC